ATTTCTATAGAAGCAAATAAAAATAACAGTAGATTTTTGTTTAGCACCGTCACTAAACTCACAAACTGCCATAGCGCAATCGAGCCTAAAATTCCAAGCTCACTGAGCAGTGTCGACTTTCTCCACTTCTTTAATAATAAAATTACATCCATCCGTGACAAGCTGGAGGAGGTTGCTCCTGCTGTTGGTAGTGGAGAAGCTGAAGCGGCATACGTGACTTCCCACTTAGACTCTTCAGTGGGCCTTAATAAATTCATGGCTGTGAGCCAAGCAGAGGTGATCTCTGTGGTCACATCCTCAAAAGCCTCAACTTGCATGTTAGACGCAGTCCCGACATGGCTCTTCAAAGACATACTTCCTTTGATAATTGAGCCTATCGTAAATATAATAAACGCATCCATACAATGTGGCTATGTCCCACAAGCTTTTAAAACCGCGGTAATCAAACCCCTTCTGAAGAAAACAAACCTGGACCCAGAAATACTTACAAACTACAGACCGATCTCAAACCTCACTTTTATATCTAAAATCCTGGAAAAACTTATAGCTGAGCAGCTTCGCTGCCACCTGCAGGAAAATAATATGTTTGAAGTCTTTCAATCTGGATTCAGAGCTCATCATAGACTGAAACGGCACTAGTCAAAGTCACAAATGACTTACTACTAGCTGCTGATAATGGACAAGTGTCAGTGCTGGTCCTACTGGACCTTAGTGCTGCATTTGACACAATAGACCACAGCATTCTACTGCAGAGGCTAGAATGTGATATAGGTCTTAGAGGAACAGCCCTTGGCTGGTTTAAATCCGATTTATCAGATCGGTATCACTTCGTCAACGTAAATCAGAACTCGTCGCCTTATTCTGGAGTAGAATTCGGTGTGCCGCAGGGTTCAGTACTCGGACCGATTCTTTTCACTCTCTACATGCTGCCGTTTGGAAACATTATTAAAAAGCATGGAATTAATTTCCACTGCTATGCAGATGACACACAGCTTTATCTGTCGATGAAGCCTAATCAGACAGATCAGCTAGAAAAGCTCAGTGCCTGCATAAAGGACCTTAAAATGTGGATGACTCTTAACTTCCTACTTCTCAACCCGGAGAAGACAGAAGTGATCCTACTCGGTCCGAAGCGCCTGCGTGACTCCCTCACTAACCAGATAATTACTCTGATAATGTCAGTATTATACCCAGTAACACTGTGAGGAATCTTGGAGTCATTTTTGACCAAGAACTCTCCTTCAAGGCTTATATAAGCCAAGCAACTAAAACGGCGTACTTTCACTTACGGAACATCGCTAAAATTAGGAATTTCCTTCCTAAAAGTGATGCGGAAAAACGTATTCACGCGTTTGTCACCTCAAGGCTCGACTACTGTAACGCTTTACTGGCAGCGTGCCCTAAAGCCTCTTTGAAGAGCTTCCAGCTCGTTCAGAATACAGCAGCTAGGATCTTAACAGGTACCAAAAGGAGGGAGCACATAACTCCGGTGTTAAAATCACTCCACTGGCTCCCTGTGGAGTACAGAATAAAGTTTAAAATCCTACTCTTAACATATAAAGCCATAAATGGCTTGGCTCCTTCTTATCTCCAAGACACGTTAGTGTCGTATCAACCAAGTCGAGCGTTGCGCTCACAAAACGCCAGACGTCTGGTGGTCCCTAAGGTCTCAAAGGTCACTGTTGGTGGCAGAGCATTTAGCTACCAAGCTCCTTTACTGTGGAATCAGCTTCCCATTTATGTTAAGGAAGCAGATACGGTCTCCACATTCAAGGCCAGGCTTAAAGCACTCTACTTTAATTTAGCATATAATTAGGTAATATATAATATGTGGTGTATATATTATATATATATGCTGTATTATGTTATATATTATGTTATATATTAGACAATATATGTATTATGTTGTGTATTGTGTCATGTTGTATATTATGTTATATATTATGCTGTATGTTATGTTGTGTATTACATATGATATATATGGTATGTATGGTATATATGATGTATATGATATATAATATATAATTAGGTTTGTCTGGATCGGTTTGCACACTTGTGTGTAAACCATGAATCCTGGTGCTGTAGCCTGGGCTAGCCTAGCCTAGCCTAGCCTAGCCGTGGCTGCTGCTGTCTCGCCTCCTTTCAGATACGCTCTCTTTATTCAAGGCTAGGTTTAAAACAGTCCTCTTTAGTTTAGCATATGGCTAGGAAGGTAAGACTCAGGGAAGGCTAAACTCCTCAGACTGTCAGTCAAGCTGCATAGGGCGCCCCCTGCTGGAGAAGTATGGTAACTGCACTATCCTCTCCTCCATCCATCCATTTTCTTCCGCTTCATCCGTTGCCGGGTCGCGGGGGCAGCAGTCTAAGCAGAGACGCCCAGACTTCCCTATCCACACACACCTCCTCCAGCTCGTCCGGGGGACTCCAAGGCGTTCCCAGGCCAGCTGAGAGACATAGTCCCTCCAGCGTGTCCTGGGTCTTCCCCGGGGCCTCCTCCCGGTGGGACATGCCCGGAACACCTCCCCAGGGAGGCGTCCAGGAGGCATCCGGAACAGATGCCCGAGCCACCTCAACTGGTTCCTCTCGACGTGGAGTAGCAGCGGTTCTACTCCGAGCTCCTCCCGTGTCACTGAGCTCCTCACCCTATCTCTAAGGGAGCAGCCACTCTGCGGAGGAAGCTCATTTCGACCCCTTGTATCCGCGATCTCGTTCTTTCGGTCATTACCCAAAGCTCATGACCATAGGTGAGGGAGGGAACGAAGATTGACCAGTAAATCGAGAGCTTTGCCTTTCAGCTCAGCTCCCTCTTTACCACAACGGTCCGATACAGCTCTGACTGCAGACGCTGCTCCCTCTTTACCACAACGGTCCGATACAGCTCTGACTGCAGACGCTGCTCCCTCTTTACCACAACGGTCCGATACAGCTCTGACTGCAGACGCTGCTCCCTCTTTACCACAACGGTCCGATACAGCGACCGCATAACTGCGCACGCTGCACCGATCCGCCTGTCAATCTCACGCTCCATTCTTCCCTCACTCGTGAACAAGACCCCGAGATACTTGAACTCCTCCACTTGAGGAAGGGCCTCTCCACCCACCTGCAGAGGGCAAGGCATCCTCTCCTCCTTCCTACTTTATCTGTTTAGCATTTTTAGGATTCTGACTGTAGTTTGTTCATTGCTATTCACCCGTTGTCCCATTGTCTGTTTCATGGTACGATGACGGGATCTCTGAGCCTGGCCTCCTCCATCTACACCTGCGGACTGCCCCGCCCGACCCGCCTGGGAGTGCTTCAGTCCTGCACCGGACCTGTCCACGTTCAGCGGCCACTGGTCCACGTTCTGTAGCTAGCTTAGGTCCTAGATCATTAGCCTGTCCGTCCGGAGGAGCGGATCCCTTTCTCATATGGGTCTCCCTCCCTGTGGGTTTCCCTAGTTCTCCTCCAAGGTTTCTCACTTTTTCCCACTGGGTTTTTTAAGAGTTTTTCCTTGTGGATGCAGGAGGGTCTTGTTGGACAGTTAGTGTCCAACAGAAAGGATTGGTGATGATCAGGACACTTTAGCATTCTACAACATGTATGGACATTTTCTTCTGTGTGTGCTTTATACTGTATTCTTCATGTGTTTTAACTGTTGATTCTCTGACCTGTGTTGGTGATTTCAATAGTTTTGTTAAGTCTCTGAGATGACTTCTGTTGTGACCTAGGGCTATACAAGAATAAATTGTATTGTATTGTATTTGCGGCTTTAACAACACGGCTGTGCGCGCAACTTGCCTTTGACGTCAAAATCCGTCTATATCACATTATCTATTTATGTGTTATGTTATGTTATGTTATATTTTGGCTGCTAGCATTTATATGTGCAGGTCTCCGAAGAAGACCTGTCTTCCATTTTGCGGTTTAGAAACCTTCCTCTCCATATTTTTTTGATACCTGTGTGTGTTTTGTTTTTGTGATGATGTAACATCCAGTCCCTCCAGACAATGGGTGCGCTGAGCCCGCCCCGTAAAAATAGGGTCAGGTGAAAAATGTATCGTAACCGAAACTTTTGACTCGTAAACGTTGTGAATCATGAACATAACTTGTGAATTGTAAACGTTACTTATGAAGCGAAGCATAAAAGATAAGAAGCGTAAATGTAAGTTTTACATTTACAACAGTTGTTTTCGTTTGCAATATATTTTCATATTATACTTGCAACCTACATTTACAATACCTCCTTCACGGTTACATAAAGCAGACCCTATTTTGACGCCATACCTCACCGATAGGGGCGATAGTGAGCATGAAGTTCATACCTGAGTTGCTTACAAACAATCGGTACTTTCGGTACTATTTCTTTTGCTGGAAAATGGATGATTTGATTGAAGATTTTTTTTCTCAACTGGCCCATCAATCAATACAAGAAATTATAGAGACTGAGACACCGCCACTGGACATACGAGGTTAGTCTGGCTGCGTTAGAGGAATTTGTCAATCTCTGTGTTTTATGTACAAAATTTACCAGATAGCTGCTTAACAGTGCTTCCCCGAAAAACAATTCAGACACTGCTCAAGAGTTCTGCAACAAAGGTGCCAAATGACTGTTTATACTGAGACGCTGCGCAGACGTTTCCAGGCTATTAACAGAAACGACCTGGCTCCTAATGCAGATTTCTCAGCGTTCACATGAGGTTGAAAAACGATGTAGTTCTAGCGCCCGGCCAGTAGGGGGCAGAGAAACTTTACAACACTCACACGACCCCCAGCCCCGTGCCCAGCCCCCTCTCTGCAGTGTACTCACTTCCTGTGCCAGACCCTCAGAACGCACCAACATCATTCTGCATTTTAACAGCAGCTGTGAAAATGGAAACTGAACCTAGAGCTTCGCGTGGTCTCGTTTGGACGAACGAAAAAGTAGAATTATCCTCTGTGCTGTGCTCGAAGCCCACAAAGCTAGTTAGTGTGACCGCTGCCATTGTTGTTTATGTTTGTTCTCCGCTACTGCGCATGTCCAAATGTACATGCGGGAGCAGCAGGAGGTGGGGGTCAGAGCAGCAGGAGGTGGGGGTCAGAGCAGCAGGAGGCGGGGGTCAGAGCAGCAGGAGGTGGGGGTCAGAGCAGCAGGAGGTGGGGGTCAGAGCAGCAGGAGGTGGGGGTCAGAGCAGCAGGAGGTGGGGGTCAGAGCAGCAGGAGGTGGGGGTCAGAGCAGCAGGAGGTGGGGGTCAGAGCAGCAGGAGGTGGGGGTCAGAGCAGCAGGAGGTGGGGGTCAGAGCAGCAGGAGGTGGGGGTCAGAGCAGCAGGAGGTGGGGGTCAGAGCAGCAGGAGGTGGGGGTCAGAGCAGCAGGAGGTGGGGGTCAGAGCAGCAGGGGGGGTCGAGCAGGGGTCAGAGCAGGGGGGGGTCAGAGCAGCAGGAGGTGGGGGTCAGAGCAGCAGGAGGTGGGGGTCAGAGCAGCAGGAGGGGGGGTCAGAGCAGCAGGAGGTGGGGGTCAGAGCAGCAGGAGGGGGGGTCAGAGCAGCAGGAGGTGGGGGTCAGAGCAGCAGGAGGTGGGGGTCAGAGCAGCAGGAGGTGGGGGTCAGAGCAGCAGGAGGTGGGGGTCAGAGCAGCAGGAGGTGGGGGTCAGAGCAGCAGGAGGTGGGGTCAGAGCAGCAGGAGGTGGGGGTCAGAGCAGCAGGAGGTGGGGGTCAGAGCAGCAGGAGGTGGGGGTCAGAGCAGCAGGAGGTGGGGGTCAGAGCAGCAGGAGGTGGGGGTCAGAGCAGCAGGAGGTGGGGGTCAGAGCAGCAGGAGGTGGGGGTCAGAGCAGCAGGAGGTGGGGGTCGAGCAGCAGCGGCAGGTGGGGTCAGAGCAGCAGGGGGGGTCAGAGCAGCAGGAGTGGGGCAAGCCAGGGGTCAGAGCAGCAGGAGGTGGGGGTCAGCAGCAGGAGGTGGGGGGGTCAGAGCAGCAGGAGGTGGGGGTCAGAGCAGCAGGAGGTGGGGGTCAGAGCAGCAGGAGGTGGGGGTCAGAGCAGCAGGAGGTGGGGGTCAGAGCAGCAGGAGGTGGGGTCAGAGCAGCAGGAGGTGGGGGTCAGAGCAGCAGGAGGTGGGGGTCAGAGCAGCAGGAGGTGGGGGTCAGAGCAGCAGGAGGTGGGGTCAGAGCAGCAGGAGGTGGGGGTCAGAGCAGCAGGAGGTGGGGGTCAGAGCAGCAGGAGGTGGGGAGGCAGAGGGTGGGGTCAGAGCAGCAGGAGGTGGGGGTCAGAGCAGCAGGAGGTGGGGGTCAGAGCAGAGTGAAGGGTGTGAAAGAGCCCCCGCTGTGCAGCGTTTCTGAGGCTGGATCTGAACACTTACGTTTTCACCTGGAACAGTCTTCGTATGAACGGTTGGTAGAAACCGACATCCAACTATACCGTTTTACTGCCACATTGTCTCCGTGTAAACTCAGCCTAAATCGCCTGTGAACGGCCAACTTTGTTATGTAAATAAGGTAATTATCACAGGCTGAGCTGAAGTTGCTGAACCACTTCACTTTGTCATCTTCGGGAGAGGGGGAGGATCAGCTTAGTTAAAATGAGTTAAAACTAATGTCATGCTGACTGTAGTTGAAAAATAATAATGATAATAATAAAGTTAATCAAAAGAGAACAAACGTGAAACATAATTTAATGTTTAAATTTACATTTACTTAAATAAAACAAATATGCTACTTAATTATATCTTTACATTTTCTACTGCACGTAATTGTTACTAGCTTCTTAAATCTTACTGTCTCAGCACTGAAGTCGCTAAACCACTTTATCACCACTTAACCATCTTGTGGAAAGATCAATTGTTGGTGAGATTTAATTGATTTTAAATGCTACAAAATAAGAAAAATGCTAATGAAGTTTTCTCAGTTGGTGCATTTTTTCACATCAGACTTAAAGTTCTCAAAACTATGAGTTCAACCTCCAAAACATTGAGTCATGTTTGACATCATCGCAGCATTTTCTCCTTTGAACAGATTGCAAATGCTTTTGGATGTATCAGTTACTTTCATACAATTCTCTGCTGTTTTATAACATTCATCATTTGCTTCTGTCCTGTCAGTCAAAATGAAACATACTTATGACTTCTGAATAGTTGTTAGGATTAGATAGCAATATGGCCTACGTGCAGGACTGTACAAGGACTCTTGACTGTGTATCCATGTTGTGACTATGATGTGACTGTCTCTTTGTGACACGTACGTCTTTCCATGTGTGACGTGACAATGACTATATAAACTGTGTACTGACTCCATTTTGTCTGGGAGAAAGAAACAATGGAAACCACTGGAACTTGAGAGAAACTTAAATAAACTTCCAGAGTTTGGCGCACCACGATCCGTCTCTGTCTGGTTCATTCCTGACAGATTTGGAGAATGCGCGGCTCAGTGTGCGCCATTCTCTGGTTGTTTTGAGGGAGTTTCCTTTGTTTTCTTTTTCTCTGCGTGAGAGAGCTGAGAGCATCTGGAGTTGGGTGCTATCCAGCAGGCTGGAGTGGTGACGATTTCGGGGCTTTTTTGCTCTCTCACTATATTTTTCTTTGTCCTGTTTTTTGGACTGACTGAGCGTTTAAAATTGTTTTCCCATGTCCACATTCCGGGGATTTTTGACGTGCGATTGGTCTCTACCGATGGAAGCTAGTTCCCGGTACTAGTGAGCGCTGGTTCATGTTCTGAGAGACCCCGGTAGGACGTGGAAAAGCTGATATTTGGTGGACTTCTGACGGTGCCTGGGCCCTGTTCGACAAAAGGTAAGAGCGGACACCTGTTTATTCAAAGTCTGCTAATTGAGTGAACTAAATTATGGTCTGTTTTGAGGTCCGCCAAATGCCATAAATATATAGATCGGATTAGGTAAGATTCAGGGTTGCTACCTCGATAAAATAGCAGTTTAATGATCAAAACAGGTCGCTACCTCGATAAAATAGCAGTTACGGCCGGAATAATTAGTGAAACCATGGTGTAAAAAATAAATAAACATAAAAAGTAAAAACGAGTACAGGGACCTTTGTCACAAAAGCTTTGAAATTGATACATTTCATGATAAATGACAAAAGTATAGAAGCAACACTATTTCAGTGATCCCGGGTTTAAATTACATACAGAAAAAGGGAGTTTTGTTTTTTAGTTTGTTTTCGGCGTAAACAGTGTTCACCGGAGAACGCAGAGTTTTATCTACAGTTGAGCTCTGAGAGCTTTTGCGAGTTATTTACATTTTTTGTCGCGGCTCGGGCTGTATCTAATAGTCGTTTTTGTTTTTTGTTTTTTTAGAAAGAGATTTTGAGTTTAAACTAGTTCGCTACCTGTCTTTTGTTACTAGTGTGGAAAGTGGCCATTTCTAGACTTGGATGACAAAAGAATAAACTACAACATCAGTTATATTCACTTAAAAAAAGTAATCTTGAAAGTTCTTCTTCTGTATCTTTTTGCCTGTGTGTGCACAGCTCTATCTTGCTGCCGTTGTCAGGGGAAACGGCCCCCTCCTTCGCTACACCGGCTCTGAATCAAAACAAACCTGCCTTTAGGATTTTGGCTTTTCATAGTTTTTAAATTTGCTAAATTTGCAATTGAACATTGTGTTATGACAGTTAAACGTTTTTAAACACATTTAGGGAATAGAAGTTTTGAATTATTATGTTTTTGAAACCGACAGTGGCTCAGTTGGTAGAGCATCGGCCTTTGAGCCTGAAGGTCGTGGGTTCAAGCCCACCGTAAGACCTACTTCACGACTCCCACTGATGACTGCTGTCGTTGTGTCCTTAGGCAAGACACTTAACCCCACTTTGCCTGAAGCCCCCACTGAAAGATTTCAGCTCCTGTGGACTCACCACCTGCAGGAGGATCAGTGAGGGGCTGGTGCTAAGTGTACTGGGTGCAGCTCTGGCCACCCCCTCAACCCAGAAATGGATTAAGGGGAAGAAAATGGATGGATGTTTTTGAAACCCAAATATTAGTGCTAAAGCTGTGCAATTATTTTTAGATCTGCTAACATATTTCTAGATTCATTTCATTTCATTTTCAACCCCTTTGTCCATTTCTGGGTCAGGGGGATGGCAATGAGAGCTGCCACCCAACGCTCATAGCACCAGCCCCTCTGGTCCTCTGCAGGGGGTGAGTCCACAGGAAGATGGCTGCTCTGTCAATTGTGAAACAGCCTTGATCTTTCAGCGGGGGGCTTCAGGCAATGTGGGGTTAAGTGTCTTGCCCAAGGACACAACGACAGCAGTCATCAGTGGGAGCAGTTGGAGTAGGTCCCATGGTGGGAATCGAACTCACGACCTCCAGGCCCAAAGGCCAATGCTCTACCAACTGAGCTACTGTCTCCCCTTTCTAGATTCCATTCTTTTAAATCTGCTGATATTTCTTAACTCTTTGTGAGTTGTGTTTGTTTTTATGTATTTCCATTTTTAGTTACAAAAAACCGTAGTTCAAAACATTTAAATTAGAATCTGTGTTAAAAGTGATTATTGATCATAGACTTCGTCTAAAAAGAAAGAGGGAATTAGGATTAGCTGTAAAAGTATTATATTATTGAGTTGAACTTTGCAAGCGGTGACTTTTTTGTTTTGTCTAGCTCTGACCTTGCTCCTGCTGCTGATGCCACAGCAGAGGAGCCTGGTCTGAAATGTGCTCCAATTCATATTGACTTCATTTGAAAAGGCTGAAATTATTTTAAATTAGTAGAATACATGTTGAGATAAATGTTCAAGTGTAGAAGGGAAATTCCATAAAGTGATTAATCCAGTTTAGTTAATCTTTTGATTTGATTTCATGTTTTCAAGTTTTGTTTTAATGTTTTTACAAATTCATTTTCATTTTTATAGAGATTTTAAATAGTTTCATTTCATTTCATGGCGCCTTTCAAGAAACCCAAGGACGCATTGAATAATTAAACACACAGTACAAAAGTACACATTTTAAAGTTTGAAGGTTTTTTTGAGATTTGAGTCTTGTTTTTTATTAAGAGAGTTTCTGGTCTTATAATGTCATCATTAGTAAGATAATAAGTAATCTTTATTTATATAGCGCATGTTGGAAAACCAAGAGCGCTCCAAAATAGTTTAGACTTTAGAGAGAAAAACAATCTCATTCACAAACTGATATCTGTTGTTTTGAATTTGACTATAAGGTTGTGTTCCAGGACCAAGGGCACACACTGTACAGGGTCACTGGACTGAGGGAGTGGACACTGAGAGCTCAGACCACAGGAGCCCAGCCACGCCCACCCAGGCACAGGTCACAGGTCAAAGAGCAAAGGAAAATGCCACCTCCTTGCCCCTCCCCCACTCCAGAGCTGAGTGGGTGTGAGAGAGACCGGGGTAGAGAGAAGTGTCTGGAGACGTGATGGTGGAGCATCAGGGAGAGACCTGGAGGAGAGTTGGGAGTGTGTCCAGTTGGTTTACATCACCACAGTGTGACCTTTGACACCTACAGGTGGTTCCAGGAGTCTGGACACACAACCCCAAAATTCACACCCTACACACACACACATACATACATACATTCATACACTCACACATTCACATTTACATATAGACACATGAAAAAGCAGAACATGAGAAAAAAGCATTTTAAAAGTTTACTCCAATGTAAACAAATATTTTTAATTGTCTATCACTTGAATCTTTATTTTAATCAGTATTTTTTGAGACCAGAAATGTTCATTTGAATTCTATATTGTCATGGACTTAATTAGCCTGTCTTGACATTTTTTGTTTTGATTTGTTGATTTTGTACTGTGTGAAGTAGTTACATTGATTAGGATTAGATCTGATAAACCACTTCATTGAATGAGAATGATATTGCCTATCCATAGACTAACCATAGAGAGTAACTACTGCATAACAACCTGTGTACAGGAACTGTGACACTGCACCATTGACCAGAAGTGCATCGCAAATGACCTGATGTGCTTCAAGTGAAAAGACTGTATCTGGAGATCGGATGTCCATCTGGAGACCCTACTGATGTCCAAGATGACACCTCTCGAAATATGACCTGACCTGATGACGACTGAGTCTCACCCTGAGGACCTGAGGACCCTGAGGACCTGAGGACCTGAGGACCCTGAGGACCTGAGGACCCTGAGGACCCTGAGGACCTGAGGACCTGAGGACCCTGAGGACCTGAGGACCTGAGGACCCTGAGGACCCTGAGGACCTGAGGACCCTGAGGACCTGAGGACCTGAGGACCTGAGGACCCTGAGGACCAGAGGACCAGAGGACCCTGAGGACCTGAGGACCCTGAGGACCCTGAGGACCTGAGGACCTGAGGACCCTGAGGACCTGAGGACCCTGAGGACCCTGAGGACCTGAGGACCCTGAGGACCTGAGGACCTGAGGACCCTGAGGACCCTGAGGACCTGAGGACCTGAGGACCCTGAGGACCTGAGGACCCTGAGGACCCTGAGGACCTGAGGACCTGAGGACCCTGAGGACCTGAGGACCCTGAGGACCCTGAGGACCTGAGGACCCTGAGGACCTGAGGACCTGAGGACCCTGAGGACCCTGAGGACCTGAGGACCCTGAGGACCTGAGGACCTGAGGACCTGAGGACCTGAGGACCCTGAGGACCAGAGGACCAGAGGACCCTGAGGACCTGAGGACCTGAGAGAGAAAACCGGGGAGTGATGTTTATATTTTTTAAATCATGCCATTGATGAGTGCTAAATGAGAGAGATACTCATGATTCTTTCTTTTGTTTTTGTTTGTCCCTAGCTTCTGGACATCTGATGATCTATTGCAGTGTTTCTCAAACTGGGGTATGCGAACCCCTCGGGGTACGCGGGCGCCTTCTAGGGGTACGCCAAAGAATCGCTGTAAAAAAAATATAAAAAAAAATCCTTTTATTTATTATTATTTTTATTTTTTTATTGAACCAGGAAAGTCTCATTGAGATTAACTCATTGACAGCCATTGATGTCAATTGACATCAACAATCTTTTCCTGTCAGTCTGTGTCCCCTGTATCATACAGTCTGGGGTTTGGCTGTAGACAGTATTTTATTAAGCCAGCAGGTGGCAGCAGAACTCCCTGGTTTGGTCAAAGATCACTGTCTGAGCACTCTGAGCAGGAGAGACAGAGGTGAAGCAGACATGGAGTAATATAGTCAGGGTCAGGCTAAATTTGGAGGCAGTTTGAGCAGTAAATGTGCCTCCAGTACTGACGGAGACCATGTGGAGGGTCAGGGCAGCAGACCATGTGGAAGGTCAGGACAACAGACCATGTGGAGGGTCAGAGCAGCAGACCATGTGGAGGGTCAGAGCAGCAGACCATGTGGAGGGTCAGGGCAGCAGACCATGTGGAGGGTCAGAGCAGCAGACCATGTGGAGGGTCAGGACAACAGACCAGCAGTGCATCCCAAAAAAGCCACAGAAAAGAGGACTATTGCTAAAACTATCACTGAGGCCGCACCAGGAGCCAGCGGTAAAGTCCAATTATGGTCACAGCGCTCGCTGGACTAAACAGAACGACACTCTTTATTATACATACATACATACACATACATACACACATATACACATACACAAACACCACATATACATATATATATATACATACACACATACACCACATATATATATTTTTAAGCAACATATATCTAAAAAGAAAACCGCGTTTGTGTAACTTAGTCCTTATTTCTATCACAAATAAACAAGTTCAAATAACAAGGGTTCAGAAAAAGCATGAAGGATAAATATACAACCAAAAAAGACACGTTAAACATTAGGGGGAAAAAAACACAAAAAGAACGATAACTTATACAAATATATGCAACATGAGAACGTGAGCTAAACCGGAAGGTCTGATGTAGCAATATCCACAAAAATTAAACAAAACTATTCAGTCTCACGTTCTGCAGCTCTTTGACGACGAGAGATAAAGTCAGTGGCTTCTTTCACGGAGGAAAGATGTTTCTTCGAGCCGTCTTCAAGCACAACGAATAGCTTAGCAGGGTACCTCAAAGCAGGTCTGCATCCCAACTCGTAGAGTGACTTCATGACGTCTTTTTACCGGGTGCGTTGCTCCAAGACCTCCAGAATACAATCCTCAAATATGTGGATAGCAGAGTCCTTGTATTTGAGCTTGCCTCGTAGTTTCCGAGATGCTCGCACAACCAGCTCCCGTGTTTTGAAGTGATGAAAACATATCACGACAGCCCGTGGTTGACCCTGGGGCCCTGGCTTAGCAGCTAGCGTGCGATGCGCCCTATCCAGCCTCGGGGGTGAAGGCAGAGTATCCGCACCAAGCACCTCAAAAAGTAGTTGGGAGAAAAAGGCTGTTGGCTTGACGCCCTCAACATCCTCCGATAGCCCGACGATTCTGATGTTGTTACGGCGACTACTGCCTTCAAGATCCAATACCTTAGCCTTGAGCTTAGCATTGTCTGCGACCAGATCAGAGAGCTTAGCCTGGATATCCGTGACATCAGTGGAAGTAACGTCTGCAGTCCGTTCCAAACCAGTGATGCGTGTGGTATGGTCATCAACCGTGGCCTGGACAGCGTTTAGCTTCGTCTCGTATTTGGAATACGTGTCTTTAATCTCCGCCAGTAGCTCCGCTTTTGTCTCCGCTAGCTTATCAGTTAGCACTGCGGTAAATGCCCTGATGTTAGCCGCTTCCTCTCGTTCTCGATCTCTCTTCGTAGACTTAGACATCGTTATTCTGGACGTTAATGAGTGTAAGACCGGGTAGAAGTTGTAAAGTCAGGGGGACGTAAAAACCCACGTCTGCTCTGTTACGCCATCTTGGAAAAAACTCACGAATGTCACTTTTAATGCAATTTGAGGGGAGATGTTGATGGTTCCGTTTTGTCACATGTGGGTTTTAAGAGTCAAAGTTTTGTGTAAAGTTCAGTTTAAGCAGTCAACTGCGCCTGTGAAACCACAATGCTAATGTTTTGATAGCAGTCCGCTCGTCGATTTGACTGCTGCAGACGTCCTTTTTGTAACACTTGTAATAAAGTTCAAAAAGTAAGATTATGATAATAATGGTTATAATGGTTCGTCCCTCTGGGAGGAAAGGGTTGTGTTTAATGAAGAGAGGACACAAGTTTGCATGCCACCCAGTTTAGTTTAGTTTAAAAGAAAGAATGAAGGTTTACAATATGTACATTATTTACAATATTTACATTATTTACAATATTTACATTATTTACAATATTTACAGTAGTGCACTTCATCTATTATTATTGTCTGTCCATAGTCCATAGACTTGAGTCCCAACAGTTTGTTAGACAAGGAGTGGTCCAAATAATCCAGGAAACAATAATCCAAGAACAATAATCCACTCTGTCTCGCACTTGGAGGTGGTGGGACATGAACGGACACCAGGACACTACAAGGACAAGTGTGTGGCAAAGGCCTCCTACCGCACCCTTTGAAGAGAGAGCTCAGGGTCACTCTAGAGGCAGCAGTGGATCAGACCTCAGACAGACACAGGGCTGGACTCGTGGTCTTCAGCAAGCCTGGCCTGCATAATATACAACATGCATGTATCAATACTAAATTTGTGTACACAATAAACACCAAATAAAATGCAAATTATTATCATACCAGTGTGGCATAAATGTACAAATATACCAATAGATGATCCTATCAAAATGCATTAAGGTGTATAAATAACAGTGCATAAAAAGGCACAGTATTTCATAACGAGCTCCACACTATAAGACAGTCAACATAGCCGCGGGAGCTAAAATCAGCTAATCACACTGGCATGGACATTATCTCATAATGCACATTTTATATACAAATAGGCGCGATGCCAAAATGTGCAAATATGCATTGATGTAGTGAGTATAAGATCAACACAACAAATAAGAGTTAACATGAAAATCATGGCGACACTTACCGATCCCATTAAGCATCACAGTAATATGGTCACGACACGTGTCGCGGTAGACCGACCTACGGGTTGAGGGACACAACGCACCACGTTTTACTGACGTAGGCCGCAGATTTGTTTTTCTCTTCACCAAAGTTGAAAACACACTGAGTATGGCTCTCGTTACAAAGGGCATATATTTGTATTAGTTTAACGTTCTATCAGTGAAAATCATCCTGTGATTTGATTGGGGCTTAGATACATCTAAATTAAGTGAAACAAACGCTGCATCTTATAGAGAAAAATGCTATGTAACGCTACCAGTGATTCATTTTAAATATATAGTAGTTCTTTTTAGAATTAAGTGCATGCATGCATATATGGGGACAAATGTTACGTGCACGCCTAATGTATGAATGAATACGCGGTCATAATCCCTCCCGAAATGTATTCATTTTCTTATATTTGCTCGTGGAGAGATGGTAACATTATATGCTAGTAAAAAACATAAATTACTTTTCATTTTTTTGTGTTGCTTCACATGGATGTAGCCTCATCACAAATCCTTTTCTACAGTGTCTAATCTCTTGGTATCTAATGATGAAATGAATTAAATATGAATACAAAGTCAGAGATTTCCATTTTTTTTAGGGCTGTCAAATTAGCAGCAACCGGCGCGCCGGCGGCTGTTTTTATGTTTTTAAATGTTCTGCTGGCAATAGCAGATGTATTTTGAACACCAAACCCCAAAAGCTGTATATCATTTTAAAGCTTATTTTCTTATCTACATTTATATACAAGTGTAAACTACATCAGACTTTGCATTCAAAAGATATAACACATAATGTGGGCACAAAATAAATCAATTCCGAAATAGTTTTTTACCTTTGAGCTTGTGCTGTACAAATAAATCAGCTCTCCTCCCAGCTTGCAATACATCATTCTCTCTGGAACAGTCCAAAATTATATCCACTTGTATTTCCCAAAGTAAAATCCATTCTGCAGAAATAATCCAAAAATGTGCATTTATCTTTAGCGAAAAAAACGAAAAAAAAGAGCACAGATGTTACTCTTTCACTTGTAACGGACTTTTAGCTTTGTTTTTCACCCAAACATCTGGTATCTACGTGTTCCTTAGCTCCTTATCTTTCAAATGAGACTACTCGAAAAGCTAGACCAATTTTTGGGTCTGCAATAGCTCCCGCAAGTACCGCTCGTGCTGCTGTTTGCGCATAGTTGACTGATCTTTGTCGTGATCCCAACTTGTTTGCTTTTACTTCCGGGATTTACGATTGACATGTCCTTGTAGCCAATGAGGAAAGCTTTCGAACAAGGGGTGGGACAATGGTGTCCTGTCTTATGTTGTGCCTGGACAATTGTGCGTAATGGAAGCCAAAAGACGCTCTCGAATCTGCAATGAATTTACACTCATAAAAAAATAACTTTGACATTTAAAAAAGAAAAACACACATAGATTAGTAACTTATAAGTACCAATAATAAAAAATATTGTTTTATGATGATTAAATGTAAGTAAAGATATTTGGCACAATTTGGCACACTTGTGCCAAATTGTGCCAAATGTGCACTACTTGATGAAAAGGAGAAACTGCATAAAAACTATAAAACTTAGAAGTCTGAAACTTTAGACAGTTGTTGTCAACAACACAATGACCACAGGGTTTGAATATTGTGAACTTACAATGAAGTATGCCTTTTTTAGGGCCTTTAGAAATTGAAAATGTTAGGCGAGGCTAAAAAAATTGGGTTTTTTTCCCTAACTTCAAAGGATGCAGAGGAAAATAGGAATGACAAACATTATTTTAGTGTTTTTTTACATAAACTAGAAGGCTCTAGCTTTAAAATGATGCATCACACAAGCATGTGAGATGTAATATGTGTTTTTAAATAAGCAAAGACATTTGGGTATGCCCAACCATTGTGCACGAGCCAAAATGAGGCGGATGTTAAGAGGTTATCGCATTAATTCACGTTAATTACCGTTTTCATTAACGCGTAAAAAAATAATTAACGCATGTCCGAATGACCCGCCCATTTATAATAATATCACTCAGAATGCCGCGGACACGTGAGTGTGATGGTGACAGCGGTAACGTGGTCATATAATACACGCATATATATACACGCACAGGGGCCATTCTCTGATGTTCTCTGATGATGGAGGAGAGGAGGAGACACGCTGAAATGCAACCAAACTCGCAAAATTAAAGCTGGGGTACCTACATTTTTCCTTTCATTAACAGCTCTTGTTGGTTGTACCCAAAAGTAGAAGGTTGTGAGCAAGTCAAACAGATGTAAGTACATTTGGTCTGAATAACAATGTGTCATTACATTTGACAACCTCATTTAACTTCAATTGGAGTGGATTTGAAATAGAATGTTAAAAATGCGATTAATCGTGAGTTAACTCATTACTATGCGATTAATCATGAGTTAACTCACCATTACTGTGCGATTAATAAACTAAAAAAAATTAATCGTTTGACAGCCCTAATATTTTTTGAATAAGATATTTTTGTGTGGGTTTTTGATCTGTTTTTAAAGTTATTGTTTGGTAGTCATTTAACAACGTATTCTCTATTTCTCCCCAGAGCCATCCTTGTATCTTCCTCTTTCTTGCCCTCCCATTTTTGTCCACTTCCCCGTTTTCACATCCGCTTTTGATTGATACCCTGTTTTTGACTCCTGCCTCACCACCTGACCATGATTTGTGCCTCATCCCCCCTGATTAGTACGCCACACTGATTGATAAACCGTGTTTTGACCCTTGCCCGTCCACCTGACCACGATTTAGTCTTTCATAATCATAATGGAGGATAAATGGGATGAAATGTTTCTTCTCCTCACAGAGAAGATTTATCCTGATGGAATGAATCAATTTCAGGAAGACAACTTGAGGAAGTACTCCCATAATGCATTTGCTATTATGGTTATACATTTATTTATTTATTATAGGGACAGTGCATATTAATATACATTATACATGTAAATGTATAATGTAAGAATTAGCCTAAGGTCTATTTTCCATCTGTAGTCCCTGATACATGTCTTATTGTTCTTCTGTTGTTTTAATATAACTTATTTTTTTATAGATGGTGGGATGTTCTATGACAAAAGAGCCATTAAAGCAAGACACGAGGCACAGAAACTATTTAAAGAGTTTTATGCAACACCCATGGGAGGCCACACTGACATGAAAAAACCTGACATGCCATTTGTTCCAGGTTTTACTGGTGTGGCATGACTGTGATGATTGACAATTGGGTATGTTTTTTCCTTTTATTTGTCTGTACAATTCCCTTCCCTAATGTCTGTTCTTTTTAAGATTTCTGAGTGTGACCAATGTCAACGTGAGGGAAAGCCTCTTGGTTCAGTTGCACCACTCCAAACAATAAAAGTAATTGTATTTATTGTTCCTATCCAACCAGCAGTGTACATTAATGCGTTCAAATCCTGTTGGCTTGTTGGGTGTCTGCTGTTTGGGAGCTGTTGGGGATTGACCTAACTGGGCCCTTCCCCAAAACTACTGATGGCTATCAGTACATATTTACAGCCACGGATTATTTCTCGTGGGTAGAGGCTTTCCCATTAAAAACCAAGACGGCTGCGGAGGTTGGGCAAAGACTTAGCTCTATAATATACAGGCGTGGATGCCCAAAACGTATCCCGTCTGATCAAGGGCGGGAATTTGTTATTGAAGTAAATATTGTTTGTGTACTTCTTGTTCATGCTTTCTTATTCATATTGTCATTGGGCCTCATTCACGAATAACTTCGTAAGAAACTACTCAACTTTCTTCTCAAGTTGTCCTT